TTTAACAAGAAAAACAGGTCGCACAATTAAAGTCTCAGTTTCCGATTTTAGAAACAATGGTCTACCATTTGAGAAATACTCCACTAAAGACCCATTATTATATACCATGTATTTTTTAAACCTAGCTTTTATTTAATTTCGTCAGTGTTTAACCCGAGTTCTTTAGATATTGCATCCATATCAGAACCAGACAATTTTCTATCAACCTTAATAGTCATCAAATCTTTGTGACTCTATACTACAGTAGGCTTCTTTGATCTTTTTGAAACTGTAAAAGATCGCCCTTCCGTTTTATGGGGTATAATTTCTAATTTTTCAAACTTTTCTATAAATTGATCCGCCGCTAATTTTTTTCCTACTTCTTGATTCAAGGAGTTTTCGATTATCTGACGTAGGTTTGTTGAGCCAAAAACCTTTGTACAAGTATGACCTCATAAAAATTCAATGAATTAAAAGTACTGATTACATATATTTAACCCTCCAAATTAAGGTTGACAATCGGCTATGCTGACCTAACTGCTGACCTAAAAGTGTTTGAGGTTGGCAAAAAACACGCTTCTATATTTTATGGTAAGACATTTGTATCAAATTTTTTTTTGCCAACCTAATCCCAACCTCTAAAAGACTGAGGTCAGCAAATTATTGCTGACCTCATTTTTCCTAATTTCAAGGGTTGTATAATTATGGACAAAGGGTTGCCACTCAAACCTGTAATACCTGGAAATAGCATGAATCCCGGGGAAAACCTGGAAAACTCAGGGATTTTAAAATTTTTTATAAAATTCAGGGAAAATTTTTTTTTTTTTTGAAATTTTATACAATAATTTTTTTTTTCAGAAGTTTTTTGCTTTTTTTTTTTTTTTTTTTAATTTTTTACCTCCCTAAGGCCCGAGGGGGCCACTACAGTCGAGGAGGCTACTCATTTTTTTTTTTTTTTTTTTTTTTTTGTAAATCGTGGTACAACCCTCTCTCAACTCTTTAACTCCGAAACACGAACCTTGACAAGCAAGGCCGCTGCGCGGAGAAATTAAGTTGAGCTATACTTCCAGGGACATGGTGCGCTATACTTCCAGGGACATGGTGGGAGTCGAACTCCGAACTTGGTCTACCTTCAAATTTAGTTTTTTTTGTTCTAGGTTTTGTCGATTTTACTACTTTGCAGATAGTACAATAATGGAGATTTTTACTTCTGGGTTGGGCGGAAAGAAATACTTCTGATGCTGCATGTGGATGTATATGAAAGGAGTGAGGAGTAGTTCCCACATTTTCCATATAGTAATACTCTGTTACAGATGTTGCATATTCCAGTCGCAAAGGATGGATTATTATGTTATAATTCACTAAAACCAATGTTTTCATGAGTATCAAAACTGTTACTGAAAGTGTTGTCTGCTTTTTGATAGCATATAAAGCAGCATTTATGATGAGCATCTAAGGGTGTTACTGCAAAATTAGGCATACTTATATAATACATTTTTATTACATTATGATTATGTAACACAAAAATTTATTGTGTAATACACAAATGTATTATAACATAAACACTGTTGTGGGGAGATGTAACACAAAAATTTATTGTGTAATACACAAATGTATTATAACATAAACACTGTTGTGGGGAGATGTAACACAAATACTAATAGCAATAACAAGTACAAATAAATTTGATAATGGCACCCAACATATATTATCTTTCTCTGGCCAAATGTTTTGGCCACTGAGAAATAATGACTATCAGGATGCATAAACCTAGTTTGGATATCATTTATAATATTATTTATCTCTGTAACCATGCCTACCAACCAAGGAAACTAAGAATACTAATATGTAACAAAATCATTTAGATTTAGTACAACCACAACATACTGTTACTTTTGACAAACAAAGAACAAATAAAGTAGTGCAGTGGTGGCACAGGGCTTGCTTTGTAAGCAGGAGATCCAGGTTCGAAACAAGCTCTGGACATATTTTCGTGTCAGGATAAGGAAGGAAGCGTGAACTTCCTGGTTAAATGCACTTCCGTGGTTCCGTGCTCTGTGACAAGACCATTAGGTGTTCTTGGGGCACCTAAATAACAAAACAAAAAAAAAAAAAACAAAAAAAATAAAGAAAGGGGTTGATTTTATCAGAAACAGCATCAATAAAGAAATAGAAAGACAAAGGAAAAAAAAAAGTTGATTAAGTAATGAGATGCCAAGTGAAAGCACATAAAAGTATATTCAAAGAAACCAAACCTTATTTCATGACAAATATAAGAGTTGATACATAAGTTTATTCTCAGACAAAGCACGTGGCGATTGAAGCGAGCTGAAAGGTCATCAACACTAAGATTTAAAGATGAAACATTCCAATTTAAAATAGTTTCACAAAGTGCAAGTCGAATTTTGAAAAAGGTTTGATTAATAGATGTTATCAGATTTAAAATTTTTAAAAATAAATTTGACCTCCCCTAGGCTCCAGAATTAAAGGGTTTCACTACAGTTAAAGGGACTACTCCTTTTTTTTTTGTTTTTGTTTTTTAATAATAATAAAATAACTTTGAAAAACAAATTTTGTTAAGCAAGGCTACACAGAAAAACAAACTTTAAAGACAGCAAATATTTGTAAAAGAATCAAAAAAATTTGTAATGGTAATGATTGTTTTTTTTTTTATTAATATTTTAAAATTCATATCTTTATTAATTAGAGAACTTAAATTAATTATAAATACACCCTAATCAATACACCTTAAGTAACACCCTAATCAATAAGCTAAGCAGTTGTCTCATTCTTGCCAATCAGCCTAAAAGTCATAAAAAAAGCTCTTTATGTTGCAGTTTCAGCAATGCACACCAAAAGTACTGTACATCTAAGTTTTACAAGTTCCATGCGTAATATAGTGCTTTCAATTATATGAGTTTTACAGCTGTTGATGGAATCAGCCTCTTTAAGAGCTACCACAGAGTTTGAGAAACCTTACTACTGGCTAGGGTTTCCAATTCAGATGTTTGAAGAATTGAATGTCCGACAATCTCGTTACTTTTTAATAAAACAAAATATTGTTTTTTTTTTGTGAAATGGCGGGAAATGATAAACATAAACAATAAATAAGTCAATAAATTATAATCTTAAAATAGAAAGTTTAGTATTATAGTTATTTAAAGTAATAAGCTTTCAAATATTTTCATTATATTTTCTTAAAGTGAAAGTTTAGTTTGTTAAATGTTTATTTTTTTCTGCTCTTTATAACAATTTTTTGTTGTTACACTTTGTAGCTTTAAGTTATAAAGTGTAAACATCTGTCAAAAAATTAGCAATGAGTTGAATACAAATAACATTGAAGGTGCAAACGTTTTCTGCAACTTAGAAGAAAACATAGAAATCATAGATCTCATTAAAAATTTTCAAGTTATAAAAGACCTAACAAAATTTATAAAAATGATATCATCCTCTTCAGAAACAGGCAGGATTCCACATGCTTCTAAATATTTTAATTATAATTCAGAATTCTGCTTTAACAGTAGAAATATTTAAAAGGGTTATGTTATATATATCTAATGGTGACAGTAAAATTGAGGTTAAACACAATTAGGATGCAAGGATGTTGTAAATAAAGTAAAATGTGCTTGAAATTCAAAATGCTTATAATTTTCAGTTAGAAAGAAAGCAGTTTTTCTTCAGTTACCTATGTTTAGGAGCAGAGCAACATAATTACTACTACTGCATAATTACAAAAACAATAGATAATTTAATATTTATACTGTTTAATGCACTTTTAATAATACAATCAACATCTACTGGAACAAAGCGCATTTTTCAATTGCAGAAGTAGGACAAAAATCAAAACTTGCTTAAATTTTCAAACTTTCAATGCAATTATTTCCATGAAATATGCATTTTTAAATTGGCTGATCAAACAGAATATTTATCATCTAAAATTATCATCATCCTTAAATGATAAATATTTTTAAATTAAAAATTTCAAGATTTTACAATGTTTTAATATAGTAACAAGGCAAATAAAGTAAAAAATAATAAATAAAATAATAAAATAAAGTAATAAGGTTTTCTTTTTTCTTTTTATACATTCACTGCTTAAGGCTGCTCGTCCAATACATTCGAAGATTCAAATTTTAATTTTATCAATATATATATATATATATATATATATATATATATATATATATATATATATATATATATATATATATATATATATATATATATATATATATATATATATACATATATATATAAACTGCCTGTTATCTAGATTAATTCTGGTGTTTAAAGGGGAACATTAAATGGCAGAAATAATCTAGATAAACAGGCAGGTTGTAAACAATAAAGAAGCCATTCAATTGCTGATGTCATTTAATTATAAACTGTTTTTAACATTCAAAATTTTTTGTATAATTTTACAAGCTGATGATTCTGTTAATCAAATTCCTGAAAAAATTTCTAATAATAAATCATCATTTGTATCAAGAGAATTCATATTATTTGATGTTTTTTTATTAATATAACATACCCTCTTATACACGATGTCAACACACACACATAAATATATATATATATATATATATATATATATATATATATATATATATATATATATATATATATATATATATATATATATATATATATATATATATATATATAAATATATATATATATATAAACATATACACATATATACACAATGTCAACACACACACACTCATATATATATATATATATATATATATATATATATATATATATATATTATATATATATATATATATATATATATATATATATATATATATATATGTTATATATATATGTATATATATATATATATATATATATATATATATATATATATATATATATATATATATATATATATATATATATATATATATATATATATATACATACTATATATTTAATTTGATTAAATAGTAATTCATAGATATTTTTTTTTTTGTGGCAAATCTATAAATATACTTAACTATCTCCTTACTTTTTAGACAAGTTTATTGCATGCAAAACATTTCTTGATGATAAATTTAACCACCAAGTTCCTCTTGAAGCACAATTTATGTTTCCTATGCTTTTGTCATATATGGAGTCAAACAAGGTATCCTTTTATTTTATAGTTAATATTTATTTTGTTTTTAAAAGACATTAACAAATTAAGTTTTAATTTACATTCTAATTATGTTAGAAAAAGTATGTTTAAAAATATGAAATTAAATAATAAAATAAAGAATAAAGTTTTGAAATTTAGAAACATAATAATCAAGCTTTTAATTTAGAGAAAGAAAAAAAAAACATACAGTTTAAAAATAAAATTTTACCAACTTTTGAATGAATTGATGAAACAACAACTTTGAGACCTATGTTTACTAGGGTGGAATGATTTTCATAGCAAAAAAAAAAAAGTTTTAAAATCGATATTCCTGAGACACGAATCGATGTTTATTAATTATAGGATGAAAGTAAAAAAATATTTTTTGATTTTTATGAGATCTTGAGGTTCTTCTTTGGATTCTAAATTCTTGACGGATCCGAATATTTTTGAATTTTTTTTATTCTTAACTATATCAACCTTGGACTCAAAAAAAAGCAGAAAAAAATGCTTGTTTATCAATAATAATTTTATTTAAAAAAAAATTTCAGTAAAAAAAATATTTGCAAAAATATACCTTAAAACCCCCGTTTTAATGAAGACGGGGGTTTTTTAATAGAAAAAAACAACACTATATTTTTCTCTTAAATTTTGAATTAAAACAAATATTATTTTTAAAGTCAGCATATTATTTTGCTTCTTTTGAGTACCAGGTTGATATAGTATAGAAGAAAAAAAATTTCAACAATATTGAATCCGTTATAAATTTAGAATCCAAAGAGGAACCTCTAAAAATCATCTATATTAAACAAAAAAAAAGTAAGGTTTTTGTCAATAAAAGACAACGATTCGCAGCTCAAATCAAATTTTTCGAGTATGTTTATGAGTAATAACCTTGGTATGCAATTTTATTTTTATTTATAATTCAATAAAACATTTGTTTTTTAGAAACTTTATTTGTTTTTTGTTAGGAATAAGTTGTTCGACTTAATTAAAACTTGTTATCAACAATACGAAATCGTATTTATTGTAAATCATGTGAAAAGCGTCAAACTTTAGTATGTTCATACTTAGCGTCAAACTTTAGTATGTTCATACTTACATAAAGAAGTTTCAAGCAGTGGCATAGCGAAGAGTCCACAGAGCTTGCAGCGGCGGGAGGGCCCAGAGTTATTAGGGACCCAACCAAATTTTTCAAATTTTATTTTTAAAAGTTGTCATTCTTAAAAATAATATGCATGTAAATAAACATAGCAACATTAGAAATTTTTGCTATTATTATATAGCTAAGAATTAGGTAAGAACTACAAACTTTTTTTCAGACTATTTTTTAGCTTTAATAATAATCTTGACTAATACTTCAAATAGTGAGCTTTTTATTTAAAAAATTAAAATAAACTGCATTAACTCATAAATATACAATTTAGTTAAGTGGTAAGTATGATGTCATAAGGTTTTAAAGCAAAGTACAATAGTGAAGCTATTGTATTAAGACAATAAATCACTTTAAAAAAAAATATTGCTAAGACAGATGTTGAGGTGGCACTGTAGCTATCTTCATTATTAATGTATTTATTTCTCATGAAGTTAATTATTTCTATAAAACTTTTCTCAAACAAGTTTTGATATCTGTAAAAGTTAACAATAAATAAATTATTATCTAGGTTATACATAGACCAAATGATGCTAATTTAATATAATATATCGCTGAAACCTTCAAATTAGCTCATAGTTTAATTAGGTAGCCCTATGATGACTGCTTCATTGTCAGTAATTTTAGCATATCACATTTTTTTCATCCAGACACCCTATGGTTGATCAAGCCATATGTTGGACTTACCTACAGCAGTAATTCTATTTTAAAATTGTTTCCTAATGCTTTATTAGATAATAATACTAAGGGCCACTTTAGTATCACTTGAGGAATTTTAGTTTCAAAACCGTTTCCTGAAAGTGAATCTCAGTTGTTTAGTTACAGCAAAAGTGATTACATTACAGTGTCAAACTATTGCATCAATCAACTGGAGTATTTTATTTTTGCATAAAATTGCAGATTAAATATTAACTTCTAACAATTGTATTGTTTGGAAATATTTTATCCCTAAGGTTAATAAAACAAAACAAAAGTATGATCTATGGGTTACTCCACATATTAAAAAATCTGTTTGGTATATCAATTGCTCAACTAAATGAAAAAAATAATAAACCTAATATAAACTGCTATCTTCTTATTCGTTCTGTAAAAGCTAAAATATTTAAAGCAAAAAGAGCACATAAAAAAGAAATAATATTATCCCTCTGAATAATTTCCATCGTTAAAAAAGTTATACTCAGTGGCGGGTCCAGAATTTTTTGGTGTTTGAGATAGCTAACTTCCAGACATAGAGTAAACTTCAAACTTTAGTATGTTTATACTTATGTCAAATAATGATGCGTTGCAAAAAATTGCGGTGATTGGAGGCTGGGAACAAAAAACCTCTTTGACTTCATCCAACCTCCCACCAACCCAAATGTGAAGGGAAGCAAGTTGATAAATTGTTTTTGTACTATTTTCAATTAGACTTATATTCATCAATAAATTTCAAGTTTCATAGTATTATCTCTCAGCGTTCAAAAATGATGACAGTATAAAGTTAAAACCCCCCTCAATTTTAAGGAGTTACAAATTTTATATGGTCATAATTTTTGAATGGTGAAAGAAAATACTTTGAAACTTGAAGTTTATCAAATATAAGTCTAATTGAAAATACTACAAAAACAATTTTATTTTAGTCTAATTAAGAATAGTAATTAAAAAAAGTTTTATCAACTTGTTGCCTCTCTCATTTAAGGTGGCGGTGGGTGATGAAGTCAAAGAGTTTTTTTGTTCCCTGCCTCCAATCATCGCAATTTTTTGCAAAACCTCATTATTTGACATGCATTTTTTGCAATACCTCATTATTTGACATTTTGCAAAACTCATTATTTGACAAATGTTTGTAGTTTGCTTCATTTTATGAAGTTAGCTATTTTAAACACCAAAAAATCCTGGATCTGTCACTGGTTGTACTAACCTCAATGAACTTATAATGACACTTAGGTTTTTCTATTTTAGACATTAGCTTACCAATCTAAACTCCTATAAATATTTTTTCCATTAACAAAAATCATTCATAAATTCTTTAATTCTGCAATACTATTCACTCTCTAGAAATTAGCAAATTTTATATAAAAACATTCCTGATAATTACTCGCTAAATTACTCGCTGAAAACTTTCAACTAAACTCTGTTGCCTTCAAAATAGTCAAAATATTTATTAATAACAAAATTTTTTAGTACATTAACAATAATAAAATGCTCTCTGCAAATTAACATGGCTTTATTCACCATAAATTATGCATGACTAATCTAATAGAGACTTTTGATTTTATTTTCATCTTTTAACCCTCGGAATTAGGGTTGGCATTTAGCAATGCCGACCTAACTGCCGACTTAAAGTGTTTGAGGTTGGCAAAAAATTGTCGACCTTGTTTCTATGTTTTATGGTAAGATCTTTGTATAAATTTTTTTTCCCACCTAATGCCGACCTCTAAAAGATTGAGGTTGGCAAATTATTGCTGACCTCATCTTTCCTATTTCTGAGGGTTGTATCTTTTATAGTATTTCACCAATTTATTGATATAATCTCAATTTTTCGAAAGCATCGATTCTCTACCTCAAAGTAGACTCATGTTAAAATTAGGATTTTTGGAATAAATGGGAAACAAATTATAAAAAGTATAATAAAAAAATCCCTAAAAAGCACTACTAAAATGTGTAGTTTAGGAGTCATTATTTTATGTAATGCCAAGTGGAGTACACATTTTCAAACTTTATAAATAAAAACAAAACTTTATAAATGAAAATAACAACGAACAGTTGTCTTTATAAATGAAAACATGAAAACTTTATAAATGAAGATAAAAATAAAGTCCTTATAAATTCTTGGTATGCAAAACAACATTCACTTTCATTGATGAAAATATGGCTCTCAAGTTATAAAAAGTGTTTATTAGACCACACCAGAAATATGTAGTGTTTATTTGGGCTTCTTATTTAAAAACTGATTAAACCTTGGTTGAACCTATTCAATGCAAAGCAGCAAACTGGACTTCCAGCTTAAGACATCTTTAATACTGCGAAAGGCTAAGAAGATTGAATCTATCCTTGACCAAGTGTTTTGGTCAGGACAGCGATAAGCTTAGGATTAAGAGAAATTTATCTCACTTTTTTCTTGCATTTTACACATTAAAAATTTTTGCATTTTTGCATTTTACCTGTGTCTACAATAACATATTAAAATATAAGTTACTCATTTAAAAATATGATAGCATGCTATTATACTTTTATGTACATAAGTATACATAAGTGCTGCAGCACTTATGTATGCTTGATATTACCCATTTGCCTAGCAACTGCAAAAAGATCCTTAAGCACATTAAAACACGTTTAAGGATGTCAATGGCGCATATCATTTTGTCTGCACTTAATAGCTTCTGAAACAGAAATAGCAGCTCAATTAAATTTAAATGGTGTTATAGAACGATTTGCAGCTATAAAGACAAGAAAAAAACCTTCATTAAATTTTCTGTATAGTAGACTTGCATAGTTTGACATACTGGTTTCTATTTATGATAATTGTTTTTATAATTGTCTTATAAATTTTGAAAACTTTTTTTAAATATTAAGTTTCAAGTATTTTTTTTTTTTTTTTAAAACTAATATTTATTCATTTAATTTATAATATTTATAGTTTATTTTTTTCTTGTTTTTATAAATTTCAGTGATCAGTGATTTTAATTATTTAATTGTTGTAATGAAAACATAATTGTTCTACATATTTTTGCATAAATGTTTTAGAAAGAATTAGGACTTTTGATATCACTTACAAATACTAATCGTTTTTACAACAGATCTGTGGTTGAGGAGGCTGGTGTTAAATTCTGTAAAATTGCATGTCGGGGGTAAGCTAGTTGTTATATGAAAAAACTGTTATATATATATATATATATATATATATATATATATATATATATATATATATATATATATATATATATATATATATATATATATATATATATATATATATATATATATATATATATATATATATATATATATATATATATATGTATATATATATATATATATGTATATATATATATATATATATATATATATATATATATATATATATATATATATATATATATATATATATATATATATATATGTATATATATATATATATATATATATATATATGTATATATATATATATGTATTTATATATGTATATATATATATATATATATGCATATATATATATATATATATTTATATATGTAGCACTCTTTTAATTATTTTTATAAGAATTAATCAGAATTATGGTGGTATTCGGCAATCCCGACCTAACTACCAACTTTAAAGTGTTTAAGGTTGGTAAATAATTGCCGACCTCGTTTTTATGTTTTATGGTAACCCCTTTGTGTCAATTTTTTTTTGTCAACCTCATTTTTCCTAATTAAGAGGGTTGTATATGTATACAGTTTATACTGAAATAGCCATCAAAGAGAAGTACAAACACTAACTGGATTTGCTGGGTTTGAGCAGGCCCTACCTATATATATGAAGGATATTTATTACAGGAATTTTTATTTTATTTATCGTTATTACTTTCTTTTAATCTAAAAATACTTTAACAACAAATACAAATTAATTAATACACTTTAACAAATTAAAGTGGCGATTTAAATCTACAGTAAAAAATATCAATAAATACTACATATTATTGCACAGGAAACATCAAACATCAAACATCAAACAGGTGACAAATTAAAGTGGCGACTTAAATCTGCAGTAAAAAATATCAATAAATACTACATATTATTGCACAGGAAACATCAAACATCAATCACCTGTTTGATGTTTGATGTTTGATGTTTCCTGTGCAATAATATGTAGTATTTATTGATATTTTTTACTGCAGATTTAAGTCGCCACTTTAATTTGTCACCTGTTTGATGTTTGATGTTTCCTGTGCAATAATATGTAGTATTTATTGATATTTTTTACTGCAGATTTAAGTCGCCACTTTAATTTGTCACCTGTTTGATGTTTGATGTTTCCTGTGCAATAATATGTAGTATTTATTGATATTTTTTACTGCAGATTTAAGTCGCCACTTTAATTTGTTAAAGTGTATTAATTAATTTGTATTTGTTGTTAAAGTATTACTTTAGTATGTTGATTGAGAGAAATATATGAGACCTTCTATGAGCTTTTTTTTAGCCCCAAATATAAAAAAATAAGGAATAAACTTTTTTCTTCAGATACTGAATTGAACTTTTTAAGTCTGAACTATAGTTCCAACTTAATAACTAAAACTTATTAACTAAAAGTTTGTTTAATTTATTCCCTCAATTTTTATTTTTAAAATAGAAAATAGTATTCTTTCAAAGAATTGTGAAATTCTTGATTATTTGGAAATTACTATTTATTAACAAAAAAAGTTTATTAATAAAAATTAGTCAAAAGTTACACTGAACACTAAATCCTGACTAAAAATATATAACTTATAGTTTCAATTATTTATGCTGAAAAATTACAAAATTGATAAATAAATATAATAAGATAATAAAAATAACAAGAATGACAAATAAAATAATAAGATAATTAAAATATATAAATATAAATGAAAATGAGATAAATAAAAATATGAAAATAATAAATTTGAATGATAAATTTTTAATGGTTTAATAAACCTGAGGTTCAAGCGTTTAAAATATAGCTACATGTTTCCTTATAAAATATAGCAACATGTTTCCTTATAACCTGGATCTGTTGTATATCTTATTTTATACAAATTAACACCACCACCATTTAATGATATATAGTTACAGGCTTTGTTTTAAAGCGTAAACTGGAGGCGCTGTTTTATAGTGGAGCTGTGTTTTTTTTAAAGGAATAGAATGTATGTGTTTTTTTTTTACTGTAGATAAACTTTATTCATTTACTAATTTGTTGAATGAATTATTTATTGAACTTCTATTTTTTTAAATGTTTTTTCTAACAGTCATGGACTTGCTAAAACGTAATAAAAGTAAATATTTTAGCAGTTTTGTGTTCAACAAAACACTATCTTTTAATAACTTTCCTAATATGCTTTATTAAAAAAAAAAGTAAATTATATATGGAAACATTACAGTGATATAAACATTACATTATACTGCTTTGTATTATATTTTTATACTGATACTATGCTGTTAGATATTTATACTGATACTATGCTGTTAGATATTTATACTGATACTATGCTGTTAGATATTTATACTGATACTATGCTGTTAGATATTTATACTGATACTATGCTGTTAGATATTTATACTGATACTATGCTGTTAGATATTTATACTGATACTATGCTGTTAGATATTTATACTGATACTATGCTGTTAGATATTTATACTGATACTATGCTGTTAGATATTTGATGCGCAATTTAATGATAAAAGGTTATTTATATCCTTAAAATTATACTAAAGCATGTGATCGTTAAATTTGAAACAATGAATTTTGTTTAAAACCTGTCACTAACACATTTTTTTTTTGCGTAATTACATTAAGTAATTATAGTATTAATTAAAAACGTAAACAAACAAGTCAAAATGTTTCTCTTAAAATGTCATTGAGACATTTAGAAAAATGAAAAAATTCTGCACAACTATTTATAAAGTCCTTCTGCATCGTTACTTTCAATTGTTAAATCATCTGAATCTAGCAAAACTACTATTTGTATCTTCATAAAACAATACAAGAGTTCTCTATCTATCGAACAAGCTAAAGGATCTGGAAGAAAGATTGGCCTTAAGGATAAGAAAGCAGCAATTAGTATTCGACGATTATTCACGCAAAACCCTGGCTTATCGAACAGAGAATGAGCCAAAAGGTATAAAGTTTCAGAGTTTTTTAAAGATAAAAATTTGTTAAGTAATATGCAGCTGCGGTTTGAGATCTTGAGCTTTTTTCATATTGTCAACTATAAACTTGGATGTTTACATCAAAGAATACTTGAAAGCTAGACTTTTGGCATTTTATCGAAGTCACGATGTCTCCTGTTGGTTCTGACTTGATCTTGCTTCTTGTCATTATTCTAAGAAGAGTTCAATCTGCACACAGTTCCGTCCCATTAAGAAAATTTAGGGAATTGGCAAAGGATATTTGCATAAAATTGGCTAAACAATAAATATAGCTAAAGATTTGATTAGAGAGAAGACATTAGTGGGAAAAAAATTTTCTAAAGACACTGTGCAAAAGTTAATGTCGTTGATTAGCATAAATGATTGCTTATTTATTTGAAATAATGAAAAATATTAAAATAAAAAGCACTTTTATAATCTTCAAGTTCCTTAAATTAAAATCTGTAGTTTTTGCATTAGTTGAACTATTTTTCATTTTTTTTGGATTTTTTTTTGGATTAAATTTAACGACCACATGTTTTACCCAATGGGCACGGGACATACAAAAGAAGTCTTTTAAATGTCTTGGACATCTTTTGATCGTTCAAGATACGCCTTTTTTAGGTCCCATGCCCACTGGGTATCCGGTGAATATAAAAATATATAAAAATATATAAAACTGGTACAGATATATTATTTCACGGATATAAAATTGTATTTATTACAATAGTAATTAGTAAGTAGTTTTTGTCTTTATTAAAATATATTCATATATCTTTAATAAAAGGAGTTTTTTTAAAAAATTTGAATAAATTCTCATTTCTAGTGTGTTTTTCTATTAATTTGCCACAAAGTGATGTCACATATGCAAAAAAGTTGAAATATGTACATTTAAAAAATAACACTTCTAGCTTTGTTTTTCTTAATTAGTTAAATAAACTTGTTTTGCAGTAATTTATTTTGTTTCAGTAGTTTAAAAAAGTAATTTAATTAAATACAAAAAAGTTTTATGATGTCAAAATCATGATGAGCTAATGGGATGTTTTTTGAAGTTCAATGTTTTGTTTTAAAAATTGAAAAAATAAATAAATAAATAGTTTTTGTTTGTTTATTTTACTTTGCAATAATAGACCTTGTTTATATGTTTTTTTTTTTTTTTTTTTTAATCATTTTACTTCACTTCCTCAAGGCCGAGAAGGCCACTACAGACGAGGAGGCTACTTATTTTGTGGCTATAACCCTCTCTCTACTCTATAACTCCGAAACACGAACCTTGACGAACAAGGCCACTGCGCAGAGAGACGAGTTGAGCGCAGTACTACCAGGGACGTGGTGGGAATCGAACTCGGAACCACTCGTTTATGAAGCGAGTGCTCTACCACTACACCACTACCGCATTTTATGGTAGTAGAAAGTAGAAACTGTATAAATGTAAACTTGTCAGTTAAAGTCTACCTTAACCTGTTAATTACTGAAATGTTTTAATTTTTTTTTGCTTTTGTTTTTAGGCATGATGGTGCACCTACTGTGGAACAAACCAATATGTTTGTTAATATCTGTCAAAAGTTTTTTGAAAAAAATCCTGGAAAAATAATTGGTAAAAAATTTATGCTTCATATATATACAAAAGCACATATATCTATATCTGTATGTATTTATACACACATATATACATACACAAACATCACATTAGCACGGATCCTGATAATGCCTACCTAACTGACCCAAGAATGTGACTTATATGGAAAGATAGCGTACACATCAAGGTACACTGTGATGCAAATTTTGAAATCTTTTAATTATGTCTGCGAAAAAAAAATTTAATTTGAATGCTCAAATTGAGTGAAATTTTGACTTCATAGTGCGCTAATAAATATACTTGTAGAATATGAACCACTCTATATAGTTTGATAAAAATTGATGCAAATGTAGTCTATAGCCACACCAAACTCTTGACAAAATTTCAGTCTGATTAGTTGATTAGTTTAGGATTTATGGTAGTTTTAGTTTAAATTTTTTCAGTTTTTTGCTACCTATACCTCAAAGCATTTCCAATTATTTTGATATTCTGTAACTATTTTTGAAATAATGGTTACATGAGTGTTCTACTATGTAATACCAACAACTTTTATTATAATTAATTTATTGGTATATGTACCATTTTCATTTTATAGACCAAACTATTGATTTTCCTACTTAAAGCCTGGTTTGAATTCAAAATGCTAAAAAAATGCTAAAAATAAGTGCAAAACCTGGTCAAATGACTACCAGTTGATAAAACAAACAAAAAAGCAGATCTCTTAAAGTTTGTTGTATTGACTCTTGAAACCTTCTTAAATACATTTACTTTCAAAATTAAGTGAAAAAATAAATATTTTAACTTTTTACATTGTTTTACCATAAAATGTCTGATTAGATTTTAAGACTTGTTTTTTGATTTTCTTCACAAAATATGTATTAATAAATAGCTCAATACACTCTTTTAATACAAATACTCTATAATACTATTTTAAAGATGGTGAAAATGTTCATTATAAGCTGTATGCTATGAATTTCAGCTGCCTAATCTCTAATTATTCAAATTATTTTAGCAGTTCTTTAAAGATGCTTCGTGTTTAGATCAATTATGCAGCACAACAATCTTTCTTTTTACTCTGAGCGATTATTGTTTCACTAATACCTTGACCAATGTTGATAAAAATCTTGATAAGAAGTTTTGACAGTTTGTTCACTATACGGCCCCAATAGGGATCCTTTGTGACTGATGAAATCCTTGACGTGGTAAAAGACAGCGTGAATTTTAGATGTTACGTTTGCACTAGTTATCATTAAGTAACACCTTTTAAAATTTGAAATTTTCAGTGAAATCTGGCTGAAGGATGTATCCAAACCTTGACAACTAAATTGAAGCTTTTGAATGCTTCAATTATGTACAAAATGTGGAGAACCAAGTTTGTATCAGCATATTGCTGCAGCACATCCACATTTTTAAGAAGCTTCCTGCATTCATTTCCCTCAAACTGATCCCCATGATATGGACTCATATAAGCTGTTAATTGGCAGCTGGCCAATTAACAGCTTCTATCGAAGCAGTTTTAAGGATCTTGAAAAGATGGTTATTGCATCTTCTCCTAAAAGAAGATGCAATTCCATCGGTGGATGATTTCTAAAATCAAAACATTGACAGACCCGCAGATGATTGGCTTTTCGAATGACTTTGCCAAGAAGCTTTGCAATAACCCTGCAACAATTAGCAACTACCCCGCCAGATTGCTGAAAAGACTCGATGCTTGAATTGATTGAGCCCAGTGTTTGAAAGTTTCCAGATTTAGCAAGACACTTGGATTTGACGTCACACCATGTGCAAGAGTGCGTACTTGAATGAGTTTGAAGACCACAAATTATATTTGCAACTTTCATATCACAAGCCAAAATTAGTTTAACTCCATTTGGATAAATCAGTTACTAAATTTGTTCAATATTAAAATGTGTTTCTGGCAAATCTTCTGATACCCAAACAAGAATTTGTCTCTTGACTCCAGTGTCTTTACCAGTCCTTTGAGTGAGTGGATGTTGTTGTTGCGTTGAGCTGGTTTCATCTCTTAATGTCGTATCGACAATGCTTAGGCAAAACTTGAAAAACGTTTGCCATCATCAATTTCGAGCTTAACAAAATAACCACCAGAAATTTTGCGGGACTGAATAACATGATTCGCAAGACTTGATTAATCATTGCAATGAGCAACAACCCAACTGTAACAGAATCTCCTTTTCCGTCTGTGATTTTTAAGTCACTGCAGCTGAAGAAATTGCTCAAGTGTTTACCTGCTCTCAGAAAATTCATGTAGAAATTTGGCTTTATCATGTTGCTGCTTGATGTTTGGTTTATAAATCTTACAAGTTTCTTTAATTTGTGGTTACACAGGCCTGTATTTAATTGTACATTTACAAGGGCTAGAGTTACACTAAACTTTGTTTAGTAAGGTTGCGTAAAACTTTCAAATTATTCGTTTTTAAAGAAACTAGAAAGTTGTAAAAAATGTATTTCCTGAAATCTATCTATTTATTAATAGTCAAGACTTTATCTCAATATATATGTAAAAATATATTTTAAGTATAAATATTTACCGGGGGTAACTATAAGTGGAGGCCCACCGGATGCTTTAATAAGTAGAATAGTTCCTTCCAGAGATAATTTATTGGAAATAATTCGAGATGCAATTTATTTGGCTGCTTTGACATCTTTTGCAGCTAAAGATTGAAGATTTTCCCTAATTATTGGAGAGCATTGGTGGGGCAAACCTTTTCCTAAAAGGCTTAGGTATGTACTGCAACGCATATTTGGTTCTTTCTCAATGGTGGTCTGCTCTACAAGAGGATGTTTTTTTTTTCAGCTTTGAACGACCAATTCAGCATATTAGGCAACAATGCATCCTACCTCTTGTTTCAGGTCACACTTGTATTTACTTAAAATCGAACAAAGGAGGGAGTGCAACTTCTTTCCCCTCTTGTTTCCAACGCAAAGTAGTTCTATACGATTCACAGAATCCTTTTGGTACCCGAGTATCACTGATATCGATCTTTGTCTTGTACAATTGGCACATTTGATCTGCTTGGAAAGTAGTAAGCTGTTTTTATCATTTTTTCAGACAGAGAAAGCACACACACTTTCGATTTTCATCATGAATTTTGGTTTAATTTGGCATTGTGGCAGTTCATTAAATCTGACTTCACTAAATCAAACTCTGCCTTTTACAAAATTTAACCTAAATTTATATTTGATAACAATCCACTTAACATAGTAACACATATTTTTAATTAAAAACTATTAAAATCAAGGAGATGTTTTACATGATTTAATCGAGGAAATATTAAATTACAAGGAAATAATTATTGAATAGATCTTTCCTTGCAAGGAAATAATTCTTTAAATTTTTTCCTTGTAACAAGGTTGAATTAACGCATCGCGATTTGCGATATCTGTTAAATTATCTGGTCTTCAAAGTTTCAGTTTATGGAAAACCACGAAATTTACGGAATAGACGAATAAACTTAAAATTAGCTTAAAAATAGAACACTTTTTGACTGCTACCCCTCCCCCTTCCCCCGCAGTTTTGCCACTGAGAGTAGTACTGACATTTACTTAAAACTAAAAACAGAGGTGTTCAATTTAATAAATTTTAGTTATAAAGAAGTATAAATAAAAATATAATTTTTTTGTCTTTACTTTTATTATGATTTAATTGATTAAATAATAAAACAAAATTTAAGTTTATAGCCTTCTCACCCCTCCCCTTTTAATATAGATTTCTCCTAAGAAGTAAATTACCAGTGTTTTCATTGGTTGATTTCAAAGTGAACGCGCTTTTTTTCCGGACCGTTAGTAAGATGTTTAGAAATGCTAAAATGTTTATAAAAATATGTATTCGTAAAAGTTGCTTAGGTTTTTAACATTGTTTAAATATCCGTTGTATTTTTTCTAGATGCATTACTACTTTAATTAAAGTTTGGAATTATGTAACTAAATCATTTTTATTTATAATATCTTGATTATGTGTTGTTTGATCAAACAATGAACTATAAATGTAACATAAAAGAGTTTTATAAAAGTAACAACACTATAGTATTATTACTTTTGTAGTCATAAATTTATTGTTTTGTTTTTCATAACATTTTCACTAACAAATTAAAGTTTATTCGCCTATTCCGTAAATTTCGTGGTTTTCCATAAACTGAAACTTTGAAGACCAGATAATTTAACAGATATCGCAAATCGTGATGCGTTAATTCAACCCTTGTGTAAGGAAATTACATTCATGATAATTGTCACATTTATTAAATTAATGATACTTGTCACACTTATTAAATTAATGATACTTGTCACACTTATTAAATTAATGATACTTGTCACACTTAATGACAATTTAAATGAGACCTTATTTGATGAAACAGTCCAAAAACAATTTTTAATACTCTTTAAGGGACTATTTTCCCCTTCATACCATCTTTCACTTTTGATAGAGTTTCTCTCTTTTTGTGCCTCTGGAATTATTCTTATCAAATTTTTACAAGTTTTGTTTCAAAACAACTTTTTAGCCCAATTAGTTATTATGTTAGATTAATTTTCCTCCGACTGGCCCTCCACATTTTGAAGGCCGTGTCGCCAATTCACATCACGCTTTATGTAGCAAATTAATATTTTGGTAATAAAAATTGTTGGTATTAGATAGTAGAACACTCATGTAACCATTATTTTAAAAATAGTGACCGAATATGAAAGTAATCAAAAACGCTTTGAGGTATAACTAGCAAAAAACTTACAAAATTTAAACTAAAACTACCATAAATTCTAAACTAATCAACTAATCAGACCGAAATTTTGTCAAGAGTTTGGTGTGGCTATAGATTACATTTGCACCAATTTTTATCAAATTATATAGAGTGGTTCATATTCTACAAGTGTTTTTATTGGCACACTATGAAGTCAAAATTTCATTCAATTTGAATATTCAAACTAAAAATTTTTTTGCGGGCAAAATTAAAAGATTTCAAAATTTGCATCACAGTGTACTTTGATGTGTATGCTATTTTTCCGTA